TATACTGCTGAGGGGAGCAGTGGGTGAGACAGGAGAGGTCTGCTCGCCACGTAGGTTGCTCCAAGGACGGCAGGGATCGAACCGGCACTGCAGAGGCTGCAGACAGCTTCACAGCGCTGCGCTCAACCGCTTGTGCCACCTGGGAGGCCCATGAGCAAACTCTTTATGCTGTGTATTCAGATCCCAGCACAGAGGCCCTCATGAACACTGACAAAATTCCAGCGACAGTGGCTTGTCAGGGTCAAGTGCGATCATTCAGCACACACTGGATGTCCTTCATCTTCCCAGGGCTATCGTTTTGAAGGGTTTCCTTTTCTGGTACATGTGTATAATATTAATATTTGTAAACAGATTATTTTTATTATCTGCTCTTATTAGAGTTTGGTCCTGTGGCCATTTCATTTCCACAGATAATACAATTATAAGGGCTGCAAGATTGAGAGTTGATGTGCAAAGAACAAAAATGAGCCTCCAGTTTTGTTTTTTTAAGAATTTATTTATTTGGTGTAGCCCAGAGGTGCAGGGATGAGAGGATTCACCAGAGACAGAGTGGGGAGCAGAGCAGGCAGGTCCGCTGACATACACTGCTGAGGGGAGCAGTGGGCAAGATGGGAGCGGTCTGCTGTGCCATGTGGGTCAGCTCCCTGGCCAGGGATCGAACTGGTGCTGCAATGGCTGCATATAGCTTCAGAGAGCTGAGACTTAACCCTTCTGCCACCAGGGAGGCCTCCAGGGCCAGATCTTGATGCCTCACCAGGTGAGGGGAGCAACAAGCCAACAAAGGCAACGTTGCCCAGTGGCTCTACACATTCCCAGCTTATAACACCAAGGATCTCAAAGTGCACTGTCAGGCAACAAATCCGCCTGTGCTGAGGTCACACACGTCACTGAGAACAGCGAAGCCAGCGTGGAGAGTAGTGCAGCCATCTGCGTAACCCACCCCAAACCAGGCTGAGCCTTGAAGAGTACGAATAGCCAGAAACTGCCAAGAAAATAAAGATGATGAACTCAGGACTCAGATGTGGGAGGACAGCCCAGGGCCATCCAGATGGGAAAGGAGCCAGCTGGGATTTCATCCATGTTTCCGGTGTCCAAAGCCCTCTTGTCTCACCCTGCGCTGCCTCCTAACAGCTACTGATGCCTCAGAAGCTCGTTCTCTCAGTCCATTTAGACTGCTCGAACAGAAAACCATAGACTCAGGGGGGCGGGGAGGGTTGGTAGTTTAAACAAGCATCTAGTTCTCCCTGTTCAGGAGGCCGGTAAGTCCAAGATCAAGGTGCGGGCAGGTCTAGCGTCTGGTGAGACCCACTTTATGAGTCTTGACATGGTGGAGAAGGCAGCACCTTCCTGGCCTAGTCACCTCTCAAAGGCCCCACCTCTAAACACCATCATGTTAGAGGTTAGAATTTCAACACTGTGTATGGGGGAGGCATAAACCCTTGGTCCAAAACATGGACCTTGTATTTCTTTGGACAAGGCTGAGGGAGAACACCCTCTTCTTTTGGAGGGAACTTAGAATGCAAATATATGAAACAACAAAACCCCCACATTGGTCAAGTTTGTGAGAACCTTCGAGAACTTCATATCTCAAATAGAACTTTCACTGCTATCACTGCTTAGGTGTGGGAGCTGCTGTCCAGAGAGCCCATGACCCAGGGAGAAATCATTCAAAGTTAACAGATGAGCGTGAGGAAAGGCAGTTCTTTCACGGAGCTACCTAATATGGTTCCCAGATTAAGGGAAAACCAAGGCAACCAGAAATAGTCTTCTAGACTGACTTCTAGTACTGTTGGGAAATCACAGGTAGTGGGAGAAGATATTTGCATGTCACATTTATCTGTCTTCAAAATACATGAAGAACTCATATAACTCAACAACCACAAACAAACAACCCAATCATCAAATGGGCAAAAGACCTAAATGGACAGGTCTCCAAAGGAGACAGGTTTCCACCGTGGTGGTTTTCCAACTAAATGATATTTTCAAAATAGGGACATTTCCTCGTAATGTGATCTAGCTTATCTTGAGATGGGCTGGGATTTCCAGCAAAGCTAGGTTTGTAAAGGCCACACTGGTCAGGAATCAGGTGCTACCTTAGCTAGAGGAAATGCAAACTGGTCTCCCACCCCCACCCGGCAGGCTACACTCATCACATCACTTGCGATGCCCCCTGCAGGAAAACAAGTGTATGACCCAGTTGTGTGACTGACCTATGAACCATCTCTTATGTTTTTTTCTTTATAGCATTTACCATAACCACCCTCTCCACTTCCCAACCTCCTATCTCCAACAGTCTTCCATTAGTACTGATTCATCAGCCTCCCGCCCTTAATGACCACCCCCACTCCTGATGCACCCTGCATTTCCCTTTTATGCACTGCGTAGATTCCTATACTTTTTCCAAAAATTTTAATTTTTGCATAGAAGAACTGGGGTGCAGGCCAGAGGTGTGGGGGGTGAGAGGATTCACCAGAGACAGAGTGGGGAGAGGAACAGGTGGATGTACTGAAATACACTGCTGAGGGGAGCAGTGGGGAGACAGGAGAGGTCTGCTGCGCCATGTGCGTCAGCTCCCTGGCCAAGGATCAAACTCGGGCCTGTGATAGAGCTGAGACTTAACCCCTAGGCCATGGGGAGGCCCTCTCTCTGATACTCTTTATGATTTACTTATATTTTGCTTGTCTGTTTCACTCTCCTGGAATTTCAACTTCACAAAGACAATATGTACTTTGTCCAAGCAGCTACACCACCACCTGGGACGGTAGGTGCTCAGTAAATATTTGTGGATAGAAAAAAGAGGTTGCTCCCGGGTGTTCCTGCAGATTCTTCTGCCTACCATGGGGCACACCTAGAACCATGGATGTTCAGATTGTACAAGATTACTGCAAGATCATTTCAAATGTTGTCGGCTGCTGTAAAGAAGGCCAAACAGGGTGATGGGTTCATGAGTGATTTTAGAGGGGCCGTCAGGGAAAGCCTCTCCTGGAGAAGTGATGAAGCTGAGACTTGAATGATGAGCCTCCCCGGCCCTGAGAAAAACTCCTTCCCCAGAGGGGCCTGCCCTAGAGCCACAGCCCCAGCTCTCCTTAAAATTTCTGTGAAGCACTGCCCTGGTGTTGTGAACCAAACTATCTCCCTCCAAATCCATACATCAAAGCCCTGACCCCCAGGGTGATTGTAAGGGGTGGGGGGAGAACGGGCCTTTGCTGAGGTAATTAAGGTTAAATGAGGTCATAAGGGTGGGGCCCTGATCCAGCAGGACTGGCATCCTTGTAAGAAAGACAGCAGGGGTGTGTGTGCACAGAGAAAAGATCCTGTGAGGCAACAAGAAGGGGGCCCTTTGCATGTCAGAGGGAGGCCCCCCCAGAAACCAACCCTGCAGACACCTTCATCTTGGACCTCTGCCTCCAGAACTGTGTGAAAAGTCTCTGTAAGCTGCCAGGTCTGCAGTCCTTTGTCAAGATGAGCCTGGTCTGCAATTACCTCACAGACCATCCTAAGAGCCGCCCTGCCGGCTCCTTGTCCCTCCTCTGGCCCAGTCTCTTGCACAGTAACCCCAGTGAACTTCCTAGGTTGCACTTTGGATGAGCCACTCCCAATGAGAGAGTCCCAGTCCTCAAAGAGCAAACTCCTCTGTCTCTCAGGGCGTTCTTTCTTTATGATTTATTTTTATTTATTTATGCACACAAGAACTGGGGTGTAGTCCAAAGGTGGGGGTGGGGTGAGTGGATTCACCAGAGACACAGTGGGGAGCAGAAGAGGCAGATCCACTGAAATGCACTGATGAGGGGAGCAGTGGGGAGACAGGTGAGATCTACTGTGCCATGTGGTTCAGCTACCCTGCCGGGATGGAATTCATGCCTCAGTGGCTGCAGATACCTTGATAGAGCTGAGACTTTAATCCCTGCAGTGCAGTACCCAGGCAACAGCATCTCCAGCCTCAGGGCCTTTGCACTTGCTCTTCCCTCTACCTGGGACCTGATGTCAGGCACTGGGAAGCCTTCCCTCACTTATCTGCCCCCTCCCCTCCCTGTCACATCACCCTGGCTTCCCTTTCTTTCCCTCTCACTGTCCCACATGGTCTTCTCTGTGTTTTGTTGTGTTTTGTTTTGGCCCACTTCCAAACCCACCATGGGGCGGGGGCACTGCCTTGGGCAAGGCTGGGACCGAGCGTAGAACAGGGCCCTGCAATAGGGACACCTAACTGTTGAAAATACAGGTGGATTGGGCCTCCCTGCGGGCGGAAGGGGTTGAACACTGTACGATGAAGCTATCTGCAGCCTCTGCATCACGAGTTCGATCCCCAGCCAGCCAGGGAGCTACCCACATGGCGCAGCAGACCTCTCCTGTCTCCCCGCTGCTCCCCTCAGCAGTGCATTTCAGTCAGTCTGCCTGTTCTGCTCCCCACTCTGTCTCTGGTGAGTCCTCTCACCCCCCGCATCTCTGGCCTGTACCCCAGCTCATAAATAAATAAATAAATCTTTAAAAAAAAAACACAGGTGGCCGGGGCCTGAGGGCCGGGCGCCAGGACTCCGTCTTCCGTCCCACGGCCGCCGCTCGGCCTGAGCTCCCGGCCGGGTCCTCAGCCGGCAAAACCGGCCCGAGGCGGCGGCCCCGCGGCTCCGAGGGCTCCTCCCGGCGGACGGGGGCGCCGCGGGTGGGGTCGGAGCCGAGCCGCGCCCAGGCCCGCGACGGGCCGCACCCCGGGGCGCCCGGGCGGAGGGTCCGCCCTCGGCCTGTCGGCGGCTCCGTCCCGCGGCTCCGCCGGGCCCCGCGCGCGGCCGGGATCCGGGAGGCCGCGGCGCCCCGGCCCGGGGTCCCGCCGCGCGGCCCGACGTGGCGCCACGGCCGCCCCCGGCGCCGACGCTCCGCGCGCAGCCAATGGCCGCGGCTCCCGGGCGGCGGGCGCGGCCTCCGGCCGCCAGAGGGCGCCACGCGGGCCCGGGAGCCGCCGCCGCCGCGGGTCGCCGAGGGGAGCTGCGAGCGAGCGCCCAGGCCGCCGCCGCCCGCCGCCCGCCGCCGGCGCGACCGTCCCCGCAGGTAGGTGCGCCCGCGCCCCCCCGCGCCGCCCCGCGCCCCCCGCGCCCCCCGCCGCGCCCCGCGCCCCCCCGCCCGCGCGCCCCCCCGCCTCGTGCTCGCGCGGCCGTTAACGGACGCGGGGGGAGGGGCGGGTGGGGGAGGGGCGGGGGCCGCGGCCGGGCCGGGGCGGGGGGCGCGGGGCGGGGAGCGCGGGCCGCCGGGCGCCCCCGATCCCGCCGGACGGCCGAGCGCGCAGCCGCGGGGCGGGCGGGGCGCGGCGGGGGCGCGCGGGGGGCGCGGCGGGGGGCGCGGCGGGGGGCGCGGCGGGGGCGCTCGGGGGCCGCCTCTCCCGGCGTCGCGCGCCCCCCGCCCCGCGGGCGCCGCCCCCGGTGACGGCCTCGCCGCGCCCCCCCCTGTGCGCGTCCCGCCCGGGTCGCGGCCCCTCACCCGAAGCTGGGGTGCGCGAGCCGCGGAGCGCCGGGCCCGCGGGTGCGGGATCAGCCCGCGCCTTTGTGTGCGGGCGCGGGGCGCCCGGGGCGGGCGAAGGCGCCTGTGGGGGCGCCGCGTCCGGCGATGCCAGCTTTGGGGTCCCCCCCCCGCGAGGACCTGTCAGTCCCCGCCGGCGCCGGGAGCTGCGGGCGGGCGTGGTCGGGAGCGCGCGGCGCCTGCGCCCTGGGGGCGGCCGCGTCGGGAGTGGGGTGCTCCCGGCGCCCGCGCCCCGCCCGGCCCGGGTTTGGGGTGCGAGGCGGTACCCGCCGAGGCCGTGGTCCGCCCCGCGGTTTGTCTGCGCTGGACCCGCGCCAGCAGGGCCCGCCGGGCGGGGGGCCGGGGCTGGGGGCCGGGGGTCGGGCGGGGGCCGGGCGGGGAGCGGGGGCCGGGGGGGGGGGCGGGGGGCCGGGGGGCGCCCCGCGCCCGCCCCTTTGTGCTCCGCGGGGCCGCTGGAAACCGAAACTCGGCCAGTGGCCGGCGCCGCGCGCTATGGGCCGCCTCGCCCGAGCCCCGCGGGGTGCGGCCGCCCCGGCCCTTCCTGCTTCTGCCGGCGGGTGGGTCCTCGCCCCGGGGCGCGCGGGGACCCCCCTTTCATTCTCAGTTGAACCGAACTGGTGATTGCGCCATGACCAGCTTGTCTTGGTTTGCTGAAGAAGCCAAGTGTGTGGACCGATTCGTGGCTGTTGCATTTCGCCCTGTCTGCTGCCGGCTGGGGCTGGAGTGGCCGGATGAAGGGGCGGCACAGAGTCGGGGCGCGCGTCTCGGGGCTGAGGGGGTCAGCACTGGCGCGTGTTCTGGCCGGAGCTCGGGGCTTCTCTCCCGCCTAGAGGGGAGAGCGCGTGCCGCCCCCTCCCAGCCCCAGACTCTGTCACCTTTTACCATTAAAGATGGGGCTCAAGTATGTTGCCCCACAATATTTATTTATTTATTTATTTGTTTGTTTGTTTGTTTTGTTTGTACAAGCACTGGGTACAGTCAGAAGCGCAGGAGGGTGAGAGAATTCACCAGAGCCAGAGCGGGGAGCAGAGCAGGCAGAAGGACCGAAGTACACTGCTGAGGGGAGCAGCGGGCGGCAGGAGGGGTCTGCGCGCCATGTGGGACCCTCCTCCGGTGGCCGGGGAGCAGCCGGGGATCGAACCGGCGCCGCAGAGGCCGCGGGCAGCTTCGCAACCCAGCGCTCAGGCCCTGCCCCACAATTCTTAATGTCGATTGACTTTGAAACTGCCGGTTTGGGTGGGTTAAGTTGATGTGGCAAGTGGAAAGCATCAGTTACCGTAGGAATCTCAACTCTCGGAACTGGGAGGTAATTTTGGGAGGTTTCGAGGCTTCAGTAAAGGATGTGATAGAAGCAAAACGAGATGTCAGCGCCTGCTGCCTCAGATACTCCAGAATGAAGTTCCCAGAAAAAATATGTTCTGGGGACGCTTGTTTTCCAGCTAATATCTTGAAGTGTTTTGTTTTAGTGAAAACGTCTTTTTTCCAGTTTTGAAGAAAAAATTGTTTTCTCTAAAGTGTGAGGTGTTTGTAAATTAAGAAAAACTTCCAGTTGTTATTTTAGGGGGGGGATATTAAAATATTAATCTAGAAGTTTATAGTGAATGCTTGTGACAATCCACCGATCTTCATTCTCAAAAGAAAAAAAGGCTGATGTGAGGTGATTTTCCTTGACGTAAAGAAACTTAGCAGGTTTGGTCCTACTAAGTCTGCTTTTTTGTTTTGTTATGAGTTTAGCAATGTATTGTTTAGTTAATGTCAATTAATGTCACCTGCCTTGTGAGACTTTGTGGAACCTGTAAGAAAGAAGCAGGTATTTTCTGTTTCACAAATCAGAAAAAAGGAATGTTTGCATTTTATTAGAATGCCCGAATTTGGCAGGATATTAAGCTGGCGCTCTGGAAGACTGGACTACAGGCCTGGGCAAACTGTCTGTCTCTGGGGTTTCCCATCTTTCTCCTTGATTGCTACCCTTGCAGGGTGGGTGGGTGAGGTGGAGCTATGAACCGTGGCGGTGACCTGGCAAAAGTAAGCATTTCCTTTCCTAATGTCGTTTGGTGACATCTCCATCACCACGTTTTTTTTTTTCATTTTTAGTAAAAGGGAAAACTCTCATTAGGATCCTTCTCCTCCTCCCACTACTGTCTGTCTCTGGAGGGTGATAGAACACCCCAGATACTGTTTCACTACTGGGTTTATAGTTGTTGAGGTTGCATTGTAGCCACAGCTTTTATGAAGTGTTACTGCTTGAGCTGACACACTGTTGCAAGACAGAGTTGGCAAGAATGTTACTTTAATTACCTTTCCCTGTTCCTGCCATTATGCAGAGAGGCTTGAGTCTGGGGAGAGACTCCAGTGCAGACCCCTAATTATACTTTTTCACTTGAAACTTAGGAATCCCTTTTTAGGTAAAAATGCAAGCACTGTGCACAATTCCTGGAGCTCTTTCTCTGACGGTATTAGTGCATCTTGTAAGGAAGGCTCTCTGATATTTATTCCCAGTGTCTGACCACATTATGTCAGGGTGGAGCATGCTTCCCCCTAAAGGCATCCCCGGAGTGGCACCCTGCACCCTTGCCTGCTGCATTCCTGCACTTGCCCTGTGCCTTGTGCAGGTTTCTCTAAGTGACAGACAGCCTTGAGCGCGCCGTGCATGCGTGTGTGCGTGCATTTGCTCCAGAAATGTTTCTCTTACACGTCTTTGAAGTGCCCACCCGCCTGGCAGCGCTGTCTTTATGTTTCAGAGTCTGGCCCAGCACCACCCTAACTGCGCTCACCGCCCCATGCAGGAGCGCGGTGGATCATGATGGATGAGAGCGTGGGCTTGGAGCCAGGCTGTCTGGCTTTGAGATCTAGCCATGCCACTTACTGGCTGTGTGATCCTGGGCGGCTTGCATCATTTCTCTGCTTCAGCTTCCTCGTAGTACCCATCTCTTAGGGTTATCATGAGGACTCAGCGACTTAATAAAGGGAAAGCCCTTTAACAAGGCCTGGCGTCGGTTGGAGCAGTGATGGCCGTTATTTCCGTCTGTACAATATGTTGCAGTCAGTTTCACTGCATAGGTCTTTGTCTTCTGTTAGCAGGAGCTAAAGTTATTGCCTAAGACCACATTGTCTCGTTGCTGGTATTGCCCTAGACTTGAATGAGGATGAGTTCCGCCGGGCAGGAGTCAGCACTGAGGGAACTGTGATGATAATCCAGGGTACCCTTCATCCTTCTGGAAACTTCAGAGGGAGTGACACTTCTGAAATCAGCTGATTCCAGAAGAAGGATGTTCCAGCTTGCAAGACTTTGGTTACTTGATAAAATTCATGCATAGTGAGATCAAAACTTCACCCCTTCTGCATCTCCATTTCCTTTTCATTGAAGGAGAGTGTGTCTGACCTGCTTTCTCCGCTGCTGGTGATGAATGAAAATTATCCCCACGCTGCTTCGGGGGCCCCCTGGTTTCAGGTTTTCTTCTCTGTCCCTATCTCCACCTTGTTCCCTTAAAGGTTGGGGGCTGAGCCTACTGTAGCTGGCTCTGCTTGTGCCCCAACATTTCCTGTGGGCATCTTCTTTCTGGGAGCAGTGGTGCCAGATTTTAACTTGGCACGAGTCCTCTCCTTATACTGGCACACATTCATTCTTCCAGTTCAGTAGTGAGCGCCCTGGACCCAATTTGTAAGACAGGCTACGACAGGTCACCCGGGAAAGGGTAAGGAGGGCAGGAGTGGGCTGTGGCCACATCCTTGGGTGCAGGGGAAGGCCTTTGAAGGTGACAGTGAAGGCAGGACCCCAGGGTGAAACGCAGCCAGCACTGTGCAGGCCTGGAACGTGTGTGGTGGGCAGAAGGAACAGCCGGCACAGGGCCCCAGGAGCGGGAGCCCTTGACTTACCTGGGAACCCAGAAGGCTGGTGTGGTGGAGCAGAGCCAGGGAGTCTTCGCAAAGTGGAGCTTTGCGAAGAGAGGTCAGGAAGGGTGACCCAGATGTGGTCAGGGCAGTCAGGAATCTGGATCTCACTCCAAGTCGTGGAGAACCCATTGAAGGATCTTAAGCAGGGATGTGAGTGATGGCCAATTTGTGTTTTTGAAAGCGCATTCCTCTTAGTTCACTGTGGGAAGTGGATGGGAGAGGGGGGTGGGAGGACAGGGCGCTGAGGCAGAGGCAGAGGCAGGGAAGCCGGATATTGCCTCATCCTCGGTGGAGGTGTGTGCCCCAATCCCCGATGGCAGGAGTCTGTGGGAAGTGGCCAGATTTGAGGTGCCTGGTAGGCGCCGTGAGCCAGTTGGCTGGATGTGGAGCACGAGAGGCGGCGAGGGGCCTACCAAGCTTCCGGCTAGAGGTGATTTTGTTACTGAACAGGCCAGATCAGGCAAAGGTTTAGGATGGGGAGGAGGGCATAGGATCAGGCATAGGACCGCCGGCAGTTGGGGGTCCCTTGGTGAAGTGGTGAAGGTCAGAGCCTGGGGCACTGTGGGTAGGTCGGGACATTTGGTATAACTACCTGGGTCGAAGCCACAGGTAGACACAGAAGCCCCTGCGCGCCACAGGTGAGCTTGCGCTTCAGTGTAGAGCAGACGGGCCTTTCTGCCTGGGATGTTTGGGCAGCTGGATGGCAGTTCAGGAGGGAGATGTGTGTATCGCCACATCACTACTTGCAGTAAAATGGTGGATCAGATAAAAAACAAATTTATTGCCTACGACTCTTCCTAGGCAAAAAGAAAAAAAAAAAAACCAAAAAAAAACCATGAAAAATTGTTTTGTAATCACAGAGAGGAGAATGTATTTCTGAGTATGTCAGAATCCAGCAGCCATAAAGAAAAACATCCATAAGCTCAGCTGCTTAAAACATAAAAGGTCTGCTGTCAAGTACCGTAATCAGAGTCAAAAGATTGACATAAAATTGGAGAAATATTAACAGCACCACAAAGGACTACTTTCCGCAACATGTAAAGAGCTTCCAGAAATAAAAGCTCAACCTGGGAAGAAAGTGGGCAGAGGAAATGAGCAAAGACTTCAAGGCACATGCTGACTAGTGGATCTTAATTCTGAAAAGTCGTCCAGCCTCTGACGAAAACCCTGAGCACGCAGGGCCCCGCCGCAGGGCCGCACTTTTTCTCACAGCCCTGATGGACCGCGGGCAGTTGGGGGTCCCTTGGTGAAGTGGTGAAGGTCAGAGCCCGGGGCACTGTGGGGAGGTCGGGACATTTGGTATAACTTGGCAATAGCTGGTACAACAAACAAATGCATCTGTCCTGCATCATACAGAAATACTTCAAAGATACACATACAGGAAGCATCCTGTGTGCCTGGTGAACTTTTAAGATTGGAAACAACCAAAACACCCATTGCCAGGAGCACAATCATATCACAGTACCGGGCTGTGGAAGATAAAGCTGCTTTCTATGTACTGATAAGGAGTGACCTCCAAAGTCAGGACCCACGTGAAAAAAGCAAGGTGCAGAATGTGTTAGGAGCCCCAGTGTATTTTTAAAAGCAGCACATGCACAGGATATTTTTAACCTTTTATTTTTGAAATAATCCTAGACTTAACAGGAAATTGCAAAAGTAGTGTATAATCTGTGAACCCTTCATTGCCACCCCTCCTCCCCCCCCCCACCCCAGTGCCATCTTACATAACCGCAATATCAAAGCCAGGAAACTGGCATGGTTTAACACTGGCAACCAAACTGCAGTTTTTTACACATGCTCCTGTGTGTCCCTGTGTGTGTGCGTGCATGCATGTGTGCAGTTTCATCTTATGCATAGATTCATGTAATTACCACCACAATCAGGAAAACTGTCTTTTTCAGGACTTGTGGAGATTGGTAGCCCTGGGTGATTTGCCTTCGGATGGGTGATTTGCCTTCAGGATGGATAAATGGGTCAGACTTGGCAAGGATACTTTCCTTTTCACTGTCATTGCAATACAACTTTAAGCGTGTGTATAGTTGAGACATCCATGTACAACTGTCACTTAGGCAGCGGGTGTAGACTCTGCCTGAGGGTGGGTGTGGGGACTTGGCAGGGTGCTAAGCTAGGGTAGGGAGCCTCTGGGCAATGTAGAAGGCCTCCAGGAGAGACATTGGGGAGCAGCAGGAGTCGGTGAAGCTCTTGCTCCTGCATTTCGAGGTCTACTGGAGACAGAACCCAGGATCAAGGAGGAAGTGGTCACTGGTCATGTACTGCTGAGTATGAATACGTGGCTTTATAACATTTTCCCTCCCTTTAAAATGGAAGCCAGCTCTAACTGGATCCAAGAATGGTGGGGGAAAAATCAGAACAGTGGCTGCCTGGGTGCGGTGGGGCAGGGGCTGGCTGGGGAGCAGTGGGGGCAGGGACAGAGTGACCATCGTGTTCTCCATCTTCATCGTGGTCTGGATGACATGGGTGTGCCATTCGTCAAGTGCCTTAAAATTTGCACATTATACCTTAAAAACCATAAATAAATATTGAATTCTGCTTATGTATGTAGAAGTATTTCATGGTGGATTATAATTGATGTCTGTAATCCACTTTGCAATTTATCAAAATAATAAGGTGGACTGATGGGTGCACAGAAGGATGGGTGGATGATAAAAGTGAGCATATGTGATAATAGAATTAATTAATTGTAGAGTATGCACATTTATATTAATTGTAGAGTATGCACATTTATATGTATGTGGTGTCCATTGTGGGAAAAAAATCAAATTTACTGTCTGTGTAAACATTCCCATATTTTTGGGAAAAAAACAACTTGAAAGACTCTGTCATTATTTTAAAATGTCATCTGATTTTATATTCCCAAATCTCTAAATATGTAAAGAGGCCTGAATTGCTTCATTCTCATTTCTTTTAATCACTTACTTGACCTGTCAGTTCTTTGCCTCGTGACCTGTCAGTTCTTTGCCTTTGTCCCTAATAGGTTCAAGGTTTTCTAGCACTTTCTGAGGGAATAGCACTATGGCTATTAACTTGTTGGATTATCATTGCTCAGAAGTCCCTTTTTAGCCTACAGATGTACTTTCTGAGTGAACCTCAAACTAACCCCCGCCTCATCTGGACGAGGTGGGGGAGGCCTGTCCCTCCCTGAAGGGAGGGCTTTTGGCTTCCTGTTCTTTTGTCCCTGCTGTGTCCTCACTGCCATCGTGCCCCCCCCACCCCAAGAGTTTGGCTCTGGGTGCCTCTGAGCTCGGAAGTTCTGACTCTAAACTGGCCTGTTTTAAATAAAGCAGAAAGAATAAAAACCTGATGGCCCTGGAGCTCATCTTTCCCACAAAGGGCTCAGGCTACATAGACTTTTGAAAAAATACCTTTTCCCCAGAGATAACTCATTAACAAGGTTCCTTCTCCCTCCAAAGTTTTAAGACATGCAATAAAAAGACACTGTCCCCTGCCCTGGTTCTCTAGCATCCCTGTGATTTTCTGTGATTCTTCCTGGGCCTCTTTGGTGTATACACAAGCAATTATGCCCCCCCCCCCCATCATTTGTGGACACTTGGATCTTACCACTCCCTTCCCTTGCCCCCCATCCCCTGCATATTTCGTTCAGTCATTTCCTTTTTGATAGATGTTGACTTAATGTCTTTCAGTCCTTTTCTGTTACAAATAGTGCCTCCTTAAATAACTTTGTACACATGCGTGTGCATTTAAAAGTTGTTGGTGGGAATGGTGAGGCCTGCAGGGGTGAGGAGATGCCCATGTACCTGCCCCCAGTTACTGTGTTCCTGGAGCTCTTGTTTCATTTCTACCTGTTCATCCCCCGGCAGGACTGTCCTCAAAACAAGTTCCAGAAATGCCATTTTGTTTCAGCATCGTGGGGGCTTTTCACTTTGGAAACTTTTCACTTTGGAAAGTTTCAAACATACACCAAGTAGAGAGAAACCCCCCTCTTTACTGCCAGCTAACATCCTACCCTTTCATTTCCATCCCCCACCCCCCATTTTTCAAGTGACTGTATTTTAAGGCAAGGCCCAAATTTCATATCCTTTCACCTGTAAACACGTGAGTGGAGGAAGAGATCAACTTTTAAGTATAAGAAAAAAAGAATCAGAATGGACAATACTTAGATATGAAAAGAATCAGGAGCTGTTATTAACCTCCATCCCCACCGCCACCCTGCCTTACTTTTAAAAAGGTAGCTTCAAAGATAACTCTTCACATGGTAAGCAATAATGAAACCAAAAAAATCTCAGCTATGTGCTTGAAATAGTTGTGCAATGTTCCTGTCACGTGGTTTCTGTGATAAGATGTCTTCTGAGGTTTAGATCTCAGCAGTTCTCAACTGAGGGTCACTCCTGCCCCTGCCCCTCCACACCCACCCCCCTCTACCATTCAACAATGTTGGGGAAATTTCTGGTTGTTACATGGGGGTGAGGAGGTTGATGCTACTGGCATCTAGTGGGTGGAGGTCAGGGATGCTGCTAACGCGCTGTAACGCACAGTACAGCTTCATAATAAGGATTTCTCTGGTGCACACTGAGACTGAGAAACCCTCATTTAGGACATTGAAAGACAAGGTTTCATCACAGATCTCTTTGCTGTGGTTCTTCCCCCTTAGCTCCATGCTGGGAACTGCCTAACGACCGTTAATTAGTGGGGTAGATACAGCAGCACTGACCTGTGTTGACATGAGCAAGTGTACACTGAAGGGAAACCCTTACCTTCCAGAAGATTCCAGTGGAAGTGGTTTCACTTAGAGCTTTACTCTAGCAGTTGTAAAAGAAGGGTTATTTCAGAAGTTTGTATAAGAAAATATGTAGAGGGTTCAGATTCTCCCCGAGGAGCCATGCTCCCTCAGGCAGGCGGATGTGCGACCTTTTTACTTCTGGAGCATTTCCAGGAGCCAAACAAGGCCCGGACTGTTCTCATGGCAGCTTAGCCAGTGTGTGTGGACAGGGAAGGAGGGGAGAGGAGGGAGAGGCAGGAGAGGGATGACTCTTTCATGGAGATTACCTCGGAGAAGCTACAGAATCTGCATGGCTGTTCAGCCTGGAGCCCTTCTGCTTGACCACAGGGCCACAAAGAGCTGGGGGTGGGGAGTTGCAGGGGAGGGAGGCACCTGGACTCATCAGAGTCAAGTCAGCAGAGGTGGACCTACCCACAACTGACTGTGTGACTGGACTTCAATTATGGGTGTTTTCACTGGGGTTCGGCAACCTTATGCAATGTTGTGCCTTTCTTTCTTTCCAGGCCCTTCGTTTAGAAAGTGGATGTGCGGGGTAACATGTCCTGTGTGTCCGAGGAGAGAAGAAAAAGGCAGCAGAACATTAAGGAAGGACTGCAGTTCATACAGTAAGCGCTTCCTCTGGCCCAGGGCACTTGCAGGCGGTGTCTGTTTTGTGAGATTCCGAAGTCTCTAGTCCTGTTAGTTTGTGTGAGGAAACTGATATTTCTGTCCCAACACTGTTTTCTGCTCTGGTACATTTTGTAAGGTTAAAATCCTTTAGTAGCCCCGAAAATGTTAGACTGAGGAATTTGAACCCAGTGTCATCAGAGCAGTTCCCGTGAATGGAAAGTGGCTGAGAAGGCACCTCTGTGGCTTTGCAGTGCACGCCTGGCCACGAAGCTGGCCTCTCCCCGCCTGCCGAAGCTGGCCCCTAGGAGACCGCCTGCTCTAGGCCCAGGCCCTGGCTCATCCCGCGCAGGGACCTTCTCCTCTGCCTCAGCCGACTGAAGCAAACAGTCTTAGTGGTTTCTAGTATTGTAAAACCTTTTTGGCTTTTGAAGGATCCAGACCCTCTTTTAGTACAAGCAGATTTGAATGGAAAATGATGTACTTAGTCCAAAAACTGCAAGGAGTGGGTTTAGATTTTTTTTTTTACCGAGCAGAGTTACATGTAAATAATGTCAGTAAGGTGAAGTGTCTTTTTTGCGGGCTTGAGCCCGTGGCAAGCTCGTGGAACCTCAGTTTCATGATGACTTCTGGGTGGGCAAAGCCTGACAGGAGCCTGATGATGACCGCTGATCTGTTTCTCCTCAGGTCACCGCTGTCGTACCCCGGGACTCAGGAGCAGTATGCGGTAATGACTGGGAATAGGTGCAGCCCATGGCAAGGGGCTGTGCGGAGCGTGGCAGCACATGGGTCCAGTACCCGCCGTGCAGGAGCCTGAGGGAGCCCAGCACTGCCTGTGCCTGGCGCTCTGTCCCACCTGCATGCGTGGGGAGTGCAGACCCATGCAGCCCAGAGCCTGGGGTGTCACCATGTGTGTTTCCACAATGCCAGCAACCCCGCCTGCGGGAACGCTGTGTGGTGTCCTCGGACAGTTGTGCTGGGTCTTCTTTATGGCTCCAGTGTAGTTCTGAATTAATTCACTTTTTGAGCCCCTCAAAAGTTACTTCTTTTTTTCCCATTTTAAAAGGACAGGCTTATTAGGAAAAGGAGAAAGGAAAAAAGAGGTGCCTGCATAGACACGAGTGGGCAGTCTTAGGACAAGAATTGCCTTGAAAATTCCTTTTTTTTTTAAAATTGTGCATAGAACTGGGGCATAGGTCAGAGGCGCGGGGGGTGAGAGGATTCACCAGAGACAGAGTGGGGAGCAGAACAGGCAGACTGACTGAAATACACTGCCGAGGGGAGCAGCAGGCGAGATAGGAGAGGTCTGCTGTGACATGTGAGTTGCTTCCTGGTCGGCTGGGGATCGAACTCATGCGGCAGAGGCTGTGGATTGCTTCATAGTGTGGTGCTAAACCCCTTGCACCACCAGGGAGGCCCCACTTCTGAAGTTTTAGATCCAAAAATGAAAATGAACTCGTATTCCTTAGTGTGCTTCACGTGGTGACCTTCTTTTTTCAGGTTTACTTACGTGCTCTTGTGAGAAATCTTTTTAACGAAGGAAATGATGTTTATCGGGAAGGTGATTGGAACAACTCGATAAGCCAGTACACAGAAGCTTTGCACATAGCTGATTATGCAAAGTCCGAAGAGATTTTAATCCCTAAAGAAATCATTGAAAAACTACATGTAAATCGTATTGCTTGTTACTCTAATATGGTGAGTGGTCATTTTTAAAACAATGATTCTGGAGAGAAAAGTGTTTGCAATAACATACCTAACACATTAATAAAAGTTTTCTAATTAATCAGTTTTTTAATTTGAGGTTTTTAAGAGCCATACTAGCTGCTTTTAGAGTAGCCTGAAACTTTCAATGTTAACTTTGGACATATGTTTGGGATTTTGAAAATAACTTGTTTCTGTTACTCGGTCCTTGGAGAGTCGCACTGACGCTGGCTGGCCTGGGTCTGCCCACCAGAACGCTGCCTGGGAAGGGACTCTCGGTCTCCTGCTGACCGTTTGTGACTCATCAAGATTCAATTAGTCCTTCTAGCAGCATTTTTAGTACAAAACAGTAATTAGCCTTCAACAGAATTAACGCAAGTTTTCCGCATTTCTGATCTTGAACAACAGGGCTTTGAAGTGCCTGGGTCCACACTTACCGGGAGTTTTTTTCTAACTGGTTTTGCATTCACGGATTTAGCCAGTCTCTGGTGTGGGCTGGTTGAATCCCAGAAAAGGGGCCTGTGCTTATGGAGCGCCAATTCTGAACTATATGAGGTTCTGGACCCGGTGGGGCATGGGCACCCCAATTCCAGTTGTTCAAGGGCCAAGTCTTGTGATGTGCTTACAGTGTTCACTGTGGACATTCAGTAAAGTTTAAGCATGAATTTAAGAAATGCTGTGTTGTCACGTTGTTCTGTACTAGTGAACATTCATTGATGATTTATTTTGTTTTCTCTTTTCCTCATCACTTCCTCATCCTTTGCCATTTGTGTGGTCCAGAGAGAATCACCACAGAGAGAGGGCAGGAGAGTGACCCTGGGGGCCCCAGTCTGGACAGTTTTATTTCTTAAAGACCTGGGACCTCTGGTCCTATGTTACCTTCTGTCTGACTGGGGTAGGGGCACATGGGTGTCTATGATCTCTTCTCTACTTCTATGTGTTTGAAATTTCATAATGAAAATGATTCTGGAAAGAAAAATAAGGCCGCTGACTTTGAGTTTAAACCGGGGGTGATAGACTGAGGCCTTGCGTTTGCAGGAGGCATCGGTGCGAGATTCTGACTTCATTCTCTATTCTTCCACACCAGGGCTTCCATGAGAGAGTTCTAGAGGACTGTGATACTGTCCTCAGCTTAAATGCCAGTAACTGCAAAGCTCTCTATCGGAAATCCAAGGCCTTAAGTGATTTAGGAAGATGCAAAGAGGCTTATGATGCTGTAGCCAAGTGCTCCTTGGCTGTGCCTCAGGTACGAGCTTGCGTTCGAGTTCATTGGTTTACTTCCTAACCATTTCACTGCTTCTCTGTGGAGACATGGCATTTAAAGAGTTAAAATTCCCAGCCAGCTCTCCACCTGCCTCAGTTGGACCTCACTGCTCATAAAGGAAGTGTCTTGGCAAGAAATAAGTCATATCTCTTTGGCCTCTGCTTGTCTGTGGTTGGTAAACTAGCCCTCCATAAGCATATACTCTGCCTTCGTTTTAGGATCAACATGTAATAAAATTAACGCAAGAACTAGCTCAGAAATTGGGATTTAAAATAAGAAAAGCATATGTCAGAGCTGAGGTAAGCTGGCATCCTCTCCGTGAGGTATCTTCATTTTGTTTTGTGACTTGAAGTCAGTTCTGTTTTGATATCAATGTCTTTATTTTCTTTTAGCTCTCATTAAAGTCAGTTCCTGGAGATGGGTCTAACAAGGTAAAGTTGCTATTTTTCTAAGATTCATATTAAAAAATAAAGGGGAGAAAAGAGACATAGTAGCAGATTCACCAGAGACAGAGTGGGGAGCAGAACAGGCGGATTGACCAATATACACTGCTGAGGGGAGCAGCAGGCGAGACAGGAGAGGTCTGCTGCACCATGTGGGTTGGCTCCCTGGTCGGGGGTCACACTGAGGCAGTAGCGGTGATAGCATTGAAATTCAATCCTGAGGCCACCAGGGTGGTCCGAACTTTGCATTTATTGCTTGGATCTGAGTTGGCAGGGAGTCCTAGGAACACCCCCGCTGCTCTCTTAGATGAACGAGCATAGAAGCCTGAACTGCACTGACCCATCATTCTATTTCATTTCTAGGCTTTGAACTCTTCTGTGGAAGATATCGAGCCAGGTATGACTTTACACCATCTTAACCTGAAAAGTGCCAGTGCTGGGCACTGCGATTTGCACAAAGTTGTTGGAAAAGATTGCTCTGGGGTTGTCAGAATGAAAACATGAAAAATTTCCAAAACCCCCTTTGTGCTTTAGGCTGCATTGGCTGGCGTGTGATGGGCACTGTCAGTCAGCCTCACCCACACTCTCTGGGGCTCAGCACCATCCTGTACCCCTGCTAAAAGGGGTCTAGGCATTTTAAGAATGTGGGAAGTTCTCACAAGAATATAGCTTTTCCTGGGTAAAACAAGTTGCTTAAAGCATGGCTTTTACCCTTTCAGTTGCTGTTTGCTTGTATCTGTTGAGTGGTCTTTTTATCTATTTTTGTAATTGCTTTAGATTTTTACCTAATCCTTCATTTTCTCATTGGTTGGCTGTTCTCACTCATTTTGAATAAGTTCACTGAAAAGGAGCACCCACGTTTCTCTCCATGTTGCAGATTTATTAACGCCGAGGCAGGAAGCAGCACCTGTTGTTTCCATACCTGCACCCAGTTTTTCTCACCAAGTCGGGAGCGAGCTGGCCTCTGTTCCTATGATGCCCTTAACGTCTGTGTTGCCTCTGCCAGTGGAGGAGAGCCCTCTGCCATCCACGGCCTTGGCCAATGGAGGAAAGATCCCCTTCACAATGCCGGAAGCTTTTCTGGATGATGGAGACATGGTCCTTGGGGATGAGATAGATGATCTCCTTGATTCTGCACCCAACACTGATGAAACCGTTCTGGTAATTCCAGCATCACTCCTATCTGCTGAAGGCAGGGCTGCTTGCTAGAAACCACAGTGTAGCCAGGCGTGTTCAGTGCTGACGGTAGCCTCACTTTGGTCTCTTATCTGTGATCCTTTCCCATGGTAACTAACTAATACGGACATTATTGAAATAAAAACAGAAAGAAACATGCTATCTAGTGATTAGCCAATTTCTGGAATCACATCTCATGCAAAGGGTAAATGTAACATTCTGAAAAGGAATCAGCAGTTGATATTTAAGGGGAAATAAGTTGTATGGACTAAGGCTCCTCCTTCCTTGAGAATAGTTTTCTAGTAACCATGTGCCAGCGCAAGTCAGCAAACTAGAGCCCATGACCGAATGGGCCCGCAGCCCATATGTGTGGCTAGGGAGGCTGAGAGTTGTTCTCACTATCTTTACTGGTTAGAAGAAAGAAAGGAGAATCATACTTTGTGAGACATGAAAATTCCATGTGATTCCAAAGTCAGTGTCCACGCAGATGTCTTTACTGGCACCCAGCCGGGACTGTCCATTGATGGTTCACCTGTGGCGGCTTTGCCCACCACCCAGTAGCCTGTGTGCCGTCCCCATCCAGCCTTGACAGCTTCCTGACCCTCGCTGAGAACATCAAAGTATCAGATGCCGCGGAGGATGAGAGGGAGCAGTGCAGGGCCTTCCAAAACCTCCAGCTGCCTTTTCTTCAACACACTTCCTTCTGCCCGTGCCCCCCACAGCCTCACAACCCCCCTGTAGTCAAGTTCATTCTTAGGATCCTTAAGGTCGGGTGAAAGAGAGGACATCATAGAGAAGTTTGGAAAATGAAGCATGACTGTAACGCGTGGATTAAAACACTATGAGATATTGCTCCTGGCGCCATTTTTAAAGAAACAAGCTTTTAAAGAAACAAGCTCTGTAGTTGACATTCTCCTACTGAGTCTTGTTTTTGACTTTGTTGTGCCACCATAACTGCCCAATGTAATACTTGCTTTTAAGAGCCGTTCGGCTCACATGGAAGTGACTTTGGGGGTTTTAATCAGGTCTTCGTTCTTTTCCAGCCTTCGGCCTTGGTCCGAGGACCCCTCCCATCGGCCAGCGTCCCCCCTAGGCTGGCCTTCTCGGCCTCTCTGTTAGGCACCTTGTCCATGGGTGCGAGGTATGCTGGACCGCCCTCCCTTTCCGAATTGTATCCACCTTTGACTTCATCCTTAGAAGATTTTTGTTCTACTTTAAATTCATTTTCAATGAATGACTCCAAACGAGGTAAGCATTGAGCCATCAGTATAAACAATTGCAGTTCATTTTCTAAAAAAGAAAAATTTGTGCCGTGCAGTTTTTGACTGTAGGTTTCAGGTACTTGTGTTATTATCTTTGTAGCTGAAAATATCAAAACAAAACCTATTTAAACTCACTGGGGCCTCACCTGCCATCTTGGAGGTCACAAAGCAAAGGCCTGACAAGAGGGGTATCTGTGGCACTGTTTATTTTTTAATAGGATAGTTTGTTAAGTGGGTGTCTCTTGTTTTGGGGTCTGAAGTGGCTTTTAATCATATTTCTCTGAGACCATTTCAAGCATTTGAAATGAAACAACTTCTTAAAGGGGGTTGAAAGGACAGATTATCCTTTTAAACTCTGAGCTAGGCAGCTACTTAATTAAGAGTGATAGGAGCTTGTCTGTCTTAGGCTTTGTCCTCTGAGCTCAGCCAGCTCTGCCTAGTGCCTTAGCTTCACCAGGGTTGCAGTTTTTGGACTGATTCTTGGTTCTGTAATCCTGGTTTAATATTTACTTTCAACAATGATAATAAAAATCTTCATTTTTTTCCCTGAGACATTTTATATGCTGAAAGGGACAAAAATCTAAATAATAGATTTAAAGATTGACAATGAAAGAAACTGAAAGGGAGACAGAAGGGCAGGGAGACAGGGAGTAGCAGACAAAGAAAAAGAAAGTGATCGAATTTTCCTGATTTTCTTAATATTCAGGTGAGCTCATGTTTCATATTTTCAAAAGGAGAGTTTCTTTCCCCAATTTGAATATGAGTTATTAGTCTTTTTCACAGCCCCCTTCAGTAGCGCTGGCCTTAGCTTATAGCTCTGAAGTAGCTTCTGATTTAAATGTGTTTCTTTAAGGGCCGATTATGCCCTCCCTCCCTCCCTCCCTCCCTCCCTTCCTGTTTTTTTTTTAATTTATTTTTTATTTTTACTTATTTTTGCGTAGAACTAGGGTGTAGGCCAGAGGTGTGGGGGGGTGAGAGGACTCACCAGAGACAGAGTGGGGAGCAAAACAGGTGGATCCACTGAAATATACTGCTGAGGGGAGCAGCGGGCGAGACAGGAGAGGTCTGCTGCACCGTGTGGGTAGTAGCTCCCTGGCTGGGGATCGAACTCAGGCCGCAGTGGTAATAGTGCTGAGACTTAACCCCTAGGCCACCAGGGAGGCCCATGATTATGCCCTTGGTTTCTTGAGGAAAGAATAAACTCCATAGCATTCTTTGAGTGTCATTAATGAGCACGAAAGCCCCCAAGAATTGGGTTGGGAAATAGCTTGGGAAAGCCACAGCCAGCTACTTGGCCCTGATGTTCTTTTCACATGACTGGAATGAAAAGGTCTGTTGATTTTTTTTTATTATTTTAGATCTGTCCACCTCAACTTCTAGAGAGGGAACATCGCTGAATGACAGTGATCCTTCCCTTTTACTTGTAAGTGTCACTTCCTCTTTTGTAAATACCTCTCTTATGTTGAAAATAGGTCTTTTACTTAAGTAACTTGAGTTGTCTGAATGAACGTGACAGTCGCCTTTTCATTTTGGGGGTGCCCTGGGAAATAGCGTAACCCCCTGGAACATCCAGCAGTCGGTGCTTCAGGCTTAAGATGGATCTCCCAGCGAATCCTACACAAAACAAGGAAATATAAGCCCAGGATATGTACAATGTATCTCCTTTTTGGAACAGAACAGCAACCCATTATTTCTTTTTATTTTATTTTATTTTATTTTTTGGGGACCCTCGCCGGTGGCCGGGGATCAAACTGCTGTTGCAGAGGCTGTGGGCAGCCTCGCAACCCAGCACTCAACTGCTGCGCCACCAGGGGAAGGCCTGCAACCCATTATTTCTAACAACTCACAGAGTCCGAGTAGAGGGACCTAGAGAGGAAAATGGAGAAAGACCCTATTTCCAGCGTAGGCTGCAGCCTGAAGATCTTCCTTTTCAGATGCACGCACTTCCCCTCTAGAGACAGCGTGGTGTGGGGCGCTTTCTTTTTTTATTGTTCTTCTCATTCTTCTTGCAGATGAACGGACCTGGCAGTTTGTTTGCCTCCGAGAGTTTCCTGGGAATTTCAAGTCAGCCTAGAAATGACTTTGGAAACTTTTTTGGAAGCGTGGTGGCTAAACCGCTGGCGTCACTGGCCCCAAGACATCCTCTCGAAGGGACCCACGAGCTGAGACAAGCTTGCCAGATATGCTTTGTGAAATCAGGTCAGGACCACAGAAAGGGGCAGCCGTCCATGTAGTCAGCCCCCGAAAGTTCTTAGGAAGTTGCTGACACAGGTGGCTGCTTGGGACCGCAGGAGGCGGTCAGGAGAAGCCCGTGTTCTCTCTCGCTGTGCCTTCACGGACAGAGTCGGACGGGAGCGGATAGTCACTTGGTTTTGAGAGCTCGTGGAGCTTTTTGAGAAATTCTTTTTGTCCTAAGTTCATGTTTAAGAACTTGGTAACTTTGGAACAGAAGAACGGGAGCTGGGGCCGCCGGTCTGTGTCGCTGCCCCCCAGGGTGAGCCAGAGGAGCAGTTTGTCTGAGTGGGACCCGAATTTAATTCTTGCTAGTTGTATATTTAACAATGTGCTTTTTATCTTTATAAGCCAGCAGAGTTCCTAAGTTATTTACCTAATAGTTAAAATTGGAGAGACCTGGTGTTGACTGGAAGTTTTATGTTGTCTGACAAGCAGCTTAAAAGGCAGCAATGAGTAACCTCTCAACCTTCTGAGGTTATGAAAATTGCATATTTGTGGGAATTTGGTAATCAGTATTCATGTACTTGTCAGGGTACCTGTGAAAGGAAATGGTATTTTTGTGCATTATAAGCCATGCTTTTTGTCTTTTTCAGGCCCTAAGTTAATGGATTTCATTTACCATGCTAATACAGATCATAAGTGTAAGAAAGATATTTTAATTGGTAGGATAAAGAATGTTGAAGATAAATCATGGAAAAAAATACGTCCAAGACCAACTAAAACAAATTATGAAGGACCTTATTATATATGTAAAGGTACATACTTTAATTCCTTCCTGTGTATATTTCCATTAGTACTAGGTGATTCGCCACATTTGCTGTCATGGTCCCAGGAATATGGCTTTTAAAATTATGTTTTGCTAGCTTAATAGCAAGTTCCTTGGGGTGAGACATTAGTATGTTTTATATTGTTTTCACCTTAATTTTTAGCATATTGTGTGTAAATGTTTTATACTTGATTATGGAAACAGGACCAAGTTTTAAGCCAAAATATTCTCAAACTTTGTGTTCTCTGATTTAATCTGGACAGAATCAGAACCCAGAATTAAGGCTTTGAAAATGGTTCTTTTAAACTGATGTGAAATACACAAGGGTGCTGAGGCCTTTTGCCTTCTGAAAAAAAAAAGACCTTGTGGGCTTGGGTGCTGTTTCTCCAGAGAGCCCTTCCAGAGCCCTTCCGTGCCACACCCCTGTGCTCCTGTGGGAGGCCACGCACGAGTTGTTTGGAGATGAGGCCTCAGCACACGTCCTGCTCACTGGCTTGGGAAAGACAACAGCATGTTTATTACGTGTCTTTTCACCCCCTCCAGATGTGGCCGCCGAGGAGGAGTGCAGATACGCAGGCCACTGCACGTTTGCGTATTGCCAAGAGGAGATCGACATCTGGACGCTGGAGCGAAAGGGCGCCTTCAGCAGAGAGGCTTTCTTCGGTGGCAACGGGAAGATCAACCTCACTGTGTTCAAACTGCTCCAGGAGCATCTCGGAGAATTTATATTCCTTTGTGAGGTGCTTTCTCCAAACCTTATTTTCTGCTGTAAAATTGGTGATATATATATATATTTTTTAAAGATTTATTTATTTATACAAGCACTGGGTACAGTCAGAAGCGCGGGAGGGTGAGAGAATTCACCAGAGCCAGAGCGGGGAGCAGAGCAGGCAGAAGGACCGAAGTACACTGCTGAGGGGAGCAGCGGGCGGCAGGAGAGGTCTGCGCGCCATGTGGGACCCTCCTCTGGTGGCTGGAGAGCAGCCGGGGATCGAACCGGCGCTGCAGAGGCCGCGCGCAGCTTCGCAGCTCAACGCTCAACTGCTGCACCACCGGGGAGGCCCAGTGATAGTTTTTTTAATGACTGTTTTAATTTTTTTAAAAGATTTATTTATTTATGCATACAAGAACTGGAGTGTAGACAGAGGTGCTGGGGAGGGGGTGCGGTGAGAAGATTCACCAGAGACAAAGTGGGGAATAGAACAGGTGGATTCACTGAAATACACTGCTGAGGGAAGCAGCGGGGAAACAGGAGAGGTCTGCTGTGCCATGTGGGGTCACCTCCCTGGCCAGGGATCGAACTTGTGCTACAGTGGCTGCGTCTTAACACCTTGTGCCAACAGGGAGGCCCCTGATTTTTTTTTTTTAATTTTTAGAAGATTGTACTGAGGTCACATGCGTTGAAAACACAGTGTATGATTTCAAGATCAGGCTCATGTCCTTTAGGTGTATGTTGCCCAGCACACCCACTCAGGCACCCAGAGTTCTCCACCATGGTCCACTGTGCCCCCACTCCCTCCTGCCCCTCCACCACCATCGCCTCATCTAATGACTTTCAAGCCCAACGTATTAAGTATCTAGTATTTAGTATTTAGTACAGGTCCTGCCATTTGATAACACATTCACTCAGCACATGGTGGCTGCTGCTGGCGTGACATTAAGACCCCATCCTCAGTATTATTTGGTCCAGTGTGTGATGTCTCAGGATGCCTCATTACGTATAGAAATGTATTGTAAGTAAGAAATAGTCTAGGTATGGAAGTTATACTTTGTATTATGTTTTTGTGATAATTTTTCTTCTTTATTCCAGAAATGTTTTGATCATAAGCCTAGAATGATAAGTAAAAGAAATAAAGATAATTCTACTTCTTGTTCTCATCCTGTTACAAAGCATGAATTTGAAGACAATAAGTACGTTGGCACTTTCTCATTTTTTTTTAAAGATTTATTTATTTATGCATACAAGAGCTGGGGTACAGGCCAGAGATGCGGGGGGTGAGAGGATTCATCAGAGACAGAGTGGGGAACAGAATAGGCAGACTGACTGAAATATACTGCTGAGAGGAGCAGCGAGTGTGACAGGAGAGGTCTGCTGCGCCACGTGGGTTGCTCCCTGTCCGGCCGGGGATCGAACTCGTGTTGCAGAGGCTGTGGATTGCTTCATAGTGCAGGACTTAACCCCTTGCATCAGCAGGCCCTGTTTCTTATTTTTATACCAACAACGCAGGTTCTTAGATCCATGCAGAACCAGAGCAGTACCCACCTTTTGTTGTTTTTTTTTTTTTAATTTTTATTTTTTAAAGATTTATTTATTTATTCATACAAGCACTGGGTACAGTCAGAAGTGCGGGAGGGTGAGAGGATTCACCAGAGCCAGAGCGGGGAGCAGAGCAGGCAGAAGGACCGAAGTACACTGCTGAGGGGAGCAGCGGGCGGCAGGAGAGGTCTGCGCGCCATGTGGGACCCTCCTCCGGTGGCCGGGGAGAAGCCGGGGATTGAACTGGCGCCGCAGAGGCTGCAGGCATCTTCGCAACCCAGCGTTCAACCGCTGCGCCACTTGGGAGGCCCTGTTGTTTTTTTGAATGATGGTGACTATTTAAAAATATTACCAGGCCATTAATAGACTTGTCTGGGCATTAGAAAATGAACTGTGGATTTGATTATTTAATACAGAAAACATTATTGACATAGCTTCTCCTGGCATGGATTTAGGGATTTCACGACTTCACGTAGTTCTCCTAATTAATCCAATAGTTGTATGCAGTGATTTTTTTTTTCTGATAAAGATTTAAAACGTATTTTAAATGTACTTGAAATTATATATATATATCAAATTATATAGCACGTATATGTGTGTGTGTGTGTTTGGCTGAACAACATTAAAGTGTCCCTCCATTTTCTTCTTAGGTGCCTTGTCCATATTTTGCGAGAGACAACAGTAAAATATTCCAAAATACGTTCTTTTCACGGTCAGTGTCAACTTGATTTGTGTCGACACGAGGTCCGCTACGGCTGCCTGAGAGAGGACGAGTGCTTCTACGCGCACAGTCTCGTAGAGCTGAAGGTCTGGATAATGCAGAGTGAAACAGGTGCGTGCGGGCGGAGGCGTGCCCGTGAAAAGGGACCAGAGCCCCTTCCCCGGCTCCCCGAGCTTTAGCTGTGTCCTTGCTCTCCGTGTTTACAGTGGCTGCTCTGTGTATGGTCTCATGCACTCAGCGGCCAACACCCGCTCACGCATGCTGTATGTGCGAGGAAGGAGGATTCCTGAGACCCCCCCGAGAACTGTGTTTGTAGACATTCCATTTTGAGAAAGAGTAATGTGCTGTCCTCTCCTCCCTGGCAACGGGCGAGGCTCCGTGGGAATTATCAGGGCACTGAGTCTGGCTAGGACTGAATGGGGGGACGGTTGTCACATGGGGAACCTAGAGCAAGGTTGTGTGTTTCCAGGTATCTCCCATGATGCTATTGCTCAAGAATCTAAACGATATTGGCTCCATTTGGAAACCTCCATGCCTGGAGCACAGGTATCTCTCTCTCTCTCTCGCTCGCTCTCTCTCTCATGCTTTCTGTATTTGGCATCTCTAGGCTGACTTGAAGGTTGTTAGTTGTCAGCAGAGAGCAGTTTGCACTTACAGTCCAGTTACCTTCTTAATGTTTATTGAGTTGAGTGATTAGTAAGGGGGAAAAATAGAATTTTGGTTCATCATCCTAAAAATAAAATCAGGATCCCACGGTACCTGCCAAGAGTGGAGGGTGTAGATTTCTCATTGCAGGTCCTGGGCTTTGGGGATTCTTGGAGTAAGGGAGGTGGATTGTGTTTGTAGTTTTGCTTCCCACCTGGCAGAGCTTCTTTGTACACTTTGTACACTTCTTTGTCCTCTCCTTTCTTCCCCACCCTTTCCCCAAAACAACACAATTCTGTCATCAGTTTTAAGCTGACTTTCCTAAGTTGCAATTTGGCACCTGTAATCTGCAGTATTATGCTCTCCCGCAGTTGAGTGGAGAATTGGAGATTTAGTTATCTGTGTGTATGTGTGTGTGTGTAAATAAAGCAGTCATGTCAAACCAGATAAAACCAGAAATTGTATGCTATTATGAAAAATATGCGTGATGATTAGGTATTTTGCAGAAAACCTGTTTTCTGTTAAAATTAAAACTGATCTTTTAATATTCAAGGTACTTGGCAATCAAATAATGCCTGGATCTCTTAATATGAAGATAAAATTTGTGTGTGCTCAGTGTCTGAGAAACGGCCAAGTGATCGAACCAGACAAAAACAGAAAATATTGTAGTGCGAAAGCAAGGCATTCGTAAGTAGCGTGGGGCTGCCTTTTTTCTGACCGATTCGTAGGTATAAAGTCTTATGTAAAGAAACAGAGGTGAATACCTGGAAGGGCGCAGAGGAAAGTAGATAATTTAGGAATAATTACAAAGCAGAATGGAGGAGATTTTTAGGATTTACTAGCTAAAAACGCAGAGAATTTAATAAGTGTTTTTTCCTGTATGTTACGAGTTCTGCTTAAGACTTACAGGGGACGTTGTTTACAAATAGGAGCAGGAAATGAAGGGACAGAAGCATAAGGCATTTTTTTTAGAAGGGTTGGAAAAAAAAGTCTCTGGACCTCTGGGCCCAGACTTGGCCCCTCGCCCGTGTTCCGCCTCTTCCCGGTGTGTCTTTGTCTGTTCTGACTCCATTTTCCTTAGGTGGACGAAAGAGCGGCGTGCGATGAGAGTGATGTCTATTGAACGTAAGAAGTGGATGAACATCCGTCCTCTCCCCACAAAGAAACAAATGCCTTTACAGTTTGATGTACATACGTAATTTTTAAGCCACTTTTTTTTTTAATTAGGCATTTCAAATCATGCGCAAGTCCTAGTAATTCAGACAGAAGACCTTTCAATAACGCTCATCACGATAATGAAATTTAAATGGTCCTCTCTCGTGCTCCTTCCCGTTAGCTCATGTGGTTCTGTGAGTTTTCAGATTGACTGGAATTGTCTGCGTTACTTGGAAAACGCAAATGAGGATTCGAGTAACAGTTACGGGCACGATTTAACTGATTTGTCAGACGAATTACTTTGCGGAAGGAATGGGAGAGAATTTCATTTAAATTTGCTATCGAGCCCAGGGCCTCCCGGGTCAGTAGGAATGCTGTCGGTGCGTTGTCTCAACATCCCAGTGCCCGTCGCTGAGGACGGGGCTGCTAGCCAGGAGCGACCCAGCCTATAGGACGCTCAGAAAGGAACGCAAGGAAACACGCCCAGTGTTAAGAGGAGACCTGGCGCAAAATCCTTTCGAATGAGAAACCCCAAGACCCCTTAGGGCTGGGATGGCATCTTGTTCACGAGGGGCCTGGCTCCTCTCTGCCTGGGGCTCTCGGTCCCGCAGATGGCAATCCGAGCAAACCGCTTGAGCTGGCTCTGGACTGTCCTGCCCAAGAGAGGCGCCGGAGGTCCCTGGTCCCTAGGGGGAGCTGCTGGACAGAGGCACTCGGAGCACTCACAGTAGTAAACTTCCTGCCACTTCAGAGGAAGTATGGCTACAGAGTCCCCTGGCAAATAGGCCTCCCACTGAACTGCCAGGTGGGGTTGAGGAGGAGGCAGATAAATTCCCCATCACCCAAAGTACCTGCTGGTTTGTGAAACTTACAGGTTTCAAGGTCATCCTTTGGAGCTGGTGGTGTTTGTGACTCACCTATGGTGGTTCGGACTCAGAGGTCCGGGTGTGTACTTAGTGGGTCATGTAGGAGCCGGGTAGGGTCATTGGAACCGCTAGTAGCTTGTGTTGTAAGAGATCGTGGAGAGGGTGGTGTCTTCTTCGATGCGTTGTGAAAACGAAGATGACCGAGGACAATCCTAGTTCATGAGCTGGCTGCCCAGGACTGCTGATGATCCAGCTGTGGCATGCGCTCCGCGGCGTTACCGAGCTGCGAGCTGCCTCCTCTCTTTCTCCCGACCAGGAGTGGCTCAGGGCTCCTTTTCTTAAAGGAGAAATAATATTCTATGTGTACATGTGTAGACAGTACAGTGAGGTGAAGAGCCTGGGCCCGAGTGTCTGCCAGAAGGCCTTGGTCGAGCTGTCCAGCTGCAACTGGCAAGGTGATCAGAGGCAGTGCCATATAAAAGCCCAGCACGGTGCTGGCCTTTGCCCTTCCCTCCTCTCTCCCTGCTCATCACTGAGCTTGGAAAGACTGTTTCCTTGGTGATACTTGATGAAGCAGTCATGGGGGTTCAAGTGGGGAAAGGCTGTAATAATGTCAGTGGCAAGAGCGTTGTATTGATGGAAGACCCTGTGGGTGAGGTCACTGACTTTGGAGAAGTGCAGCGTCAAGGGCTGGTTGCTTCAGGTTTGTAGTAGACACACAGGTCAGCATCGAGCATTGTGGAAACCAAGTGGCAGGGCCAGGCCCTGTTGCCGAAGGTCCACGGGCTGTCGGTTGCCCACCGCCTGTGCTCCATGCAGACAGGCCGACAAGCGCTGTGGGCGACCGAGGCATTCTTATTCTTGATCGACATCATTCTCACGGGAGTCTGGTCCTGCTGGTCACTTTGTCTTCCTCTTCCTACCAGTATCACTGTATTCCCTTTGTGAAACAAAAACGTAGATGCCCAGACAAGGTATTATTTGAACCTTCTGTGCCCTGATGTCTTGGTTCAGACAACACAGGCAGAGCGAGCGATGGCCGAGCTGAGCTGCCAGCAGCGGTTGTGAGGAAGCTGACTGGCCGGGGTCTCTGACACCCGTCAGTGCTTCAGCTTAGCCCGCAAGTTTCTTTTGTGCTGCCCATGTGCTGACGTGCGAGTCAGGCAGGGAGAAATCATTGCTGTCAGGCCCTGGGGCCAGGGGAAAATGCCTGTGAGGTTGAAAGTGATTCCTCCCCATCAGCGAGTTAGTAGACAGATACCTGTAGGAGAATGGTCCATATTCCTGTTCTGTCCTTTTCTTTTGGAAACTTTCTTTTGAGACATTTTGAGACAGAAAGTTTAATCTTACTATCATCTCATGTATGTTGGACTTAGAGATTTGAATAGAGTCAATTTTAATAGAATCAAATCAATTTCATTGTAAAAGTATATTACTCAGCATTAGCATGGTTAATAACACTTATTTTGCTTTAATGTAAAATTAGGCAGTTTATTTAGTGTACTCTGTCTTAAAGCTTATTCATATTTTCCCCTCACAGCTGTGCAATCATATTGCTTCTGGGAAAAAATGTCAATATGTTGGAAACTGTTCCTTTGCTCATAGTCCTGAGGAACGGGAAGTGTGGACTTACATGAAGGAGAATGGGAGTAAGTTGACGTTTTGCTGTGGCCTTGACATCTGTGGAATGGAGCTGAACTTTTCTTTCCTCTCTGTAAATGTGCCAGCTCCTGTGAGCACAGGACGTGCTGGCATGCCGGGCGGCGCTGTGTGCCTGTGGAGCCCAGCCTGACACCAGCCTGGGGCGCTGTGTGGTGTGCGGCCTGTGGGGTGGGACCCCAGGTGGGTGGGGGGAGTGCAGCTCCCCCAGGACCGTGGCGGTCAGATCCTCTGCTGCTGGTGAACCCCTGAATTAGTCCGGGTAGAACTGGAGGTTTCAAGGAGGCCTTGCTGGTGGGACAGGCCTAGATTTCAAGGCCAAGGAGAGAATGGCATCCTGGCCAAACTTCACGTTGATTGAGGAGCCTCAGCCAACCTTTCACTTTTGATCAGAAAATGTTTTACTACAAGGATCGCTGTTCTTTAATCTTCAGTAAACAGATGGAAGCTTGCTGATCGCTTAAGATCTGCCCTCTCTGGACGCAAGCTCCCACTGGAGCTGGGCATGTCACTGGCCTTGTTTCAGCCACAGACAGCCAGTGACTGCGGGGACAGGGCTGCTACTTGCTGTCCTGCTTGGAATGGGGATACCCATATGGGCCTTCTGCTATGTCCTTGCATCTTGAGGCTCCGTGGTGGTTTCTGCTGACCCTGATCTTACCTGAGGGCCAACAAAACAAGTTTTGACCAGATCCGTATTACCAGTATTTTAGCTTAGTGGTTCTCAACTGGGAATGAATTTAACCACAAACCGTGTCTCCATCTGGAGACATTTGTCTCGCCTTGGGGGGAGGTGTCCCCAGCATCTGATGCTTAGAGCCCTGACATGGCACTCACCATCCCACAGTGCACAGAATGGCTCCCCACACCATGGAACATGGTGCAGAGCCTCAGCAGTGCTGTTAGCTCTTGGTAGTAATGCGGGTGTTCTCACCTGGTCACGCCTGTGTTGTCATAAACTGCATCCCACCTGTCAGTACTCTGGGACTGTGGCTTGGCTGATAGACCCCCCTCAGGGCCAGCACCTCAGTCCCAGTCGCAACGTGTCTCATCTTGCCCAGTAAACAGTGAGGAGCAGGTCAGTGCGGCTCCAGACGTTGGTGGCCACTGTGCCTGTCAGCCATACCTGGTGCTTAGAGCTGCACAACGTAGGGGCCTCCCCGGTGGCGCAGCGGTAGTGCGCTGTAGTGCGCTGGGTTGCGAAGCTGCCCGCGGCCTCTGCGGCACCGGTTCGATCCCCGGCTGCTCCCCGGCCACCAGAGGAGGGTCCTACATGGCACGCAGACCTCTCCTGCCGCCCGCTGCTCCCCTCAGCAGTGTACTTTGGTCCTTCTGCCTGCTCTGCTCCCTGCTCTGGCTCTGGTGAATTCTCTCACCCTCCCGTGCTCTGACTGTACCCAGTGCATGTATAAACAAAAATAAATAAATAAATAAATAAAAACATGCCTCTTAAAAAAAAAAAAGCTGCACAACGTAGACTGAAGCTGGGCCCAGGCTTTTTACCAACACCTGTGATGGTTTCTGAATTTTAGCACCCCCCCATCCCCAGTGTCTTGTACATGTAGGGAGGGGTGGATTAATCTTGAAAACTATTGTTTGTGGCTTGACAGCTCTGAATTGGGTTCTCACCCCTGAGGATCTCCCTGCCGCATGGACACGGACCCTCTCTCCAGGGCCGACGCTTAGGCTCTGTCCGGCCCTCTTTTCTCTGGAAAATGATGCCAAACGTGTGCGTGATTTTGCTTGTATTCAAATGGTGTTTAGGTGTCGCTGCTGAAAGTGATTCATTTTTCTTTAGTACAAGATATGGAGCAATTTTATGAACTGTGGCTAAAGAGTCAAAAAAATGAAAAAAATGATGATGTAGCGAGTCAGTCAAACAAGGAAAATGGGAAACAGATCCACATGCCGACGGATTACGCGGAGGTCACTGTGAGTACTGGCTGCTCTTCCTCCCCTCTGCTGCTGCGCTCCTGGGAGACTTCCTCACCTGCTCCATCACCCGCTCCCCACTCCCCCTGCCCTCCTCTGGAGTCTCCTCCGAGGCTGTCCTCCTCCCTCCACGGCCTCCCTGCCCTGCGCTGGTGTCTCCTCTCAGAACACCTCTCCTGACCCTGTTTTCTGACCTCGGAGTCAGAATTGCTGAGTCTGGCTTGTCCCCTCACTGCTGGGGACCACTGGGTGGGTCTGGGTGTCTGCCGTGGGGTGGATGGTGGACAGGGAAATGCAATGCCTCTGTAGCACGTTTCTCTGTGCTAGGCCCCCAAAGGTACTCAGGAAATGTGGGCTTCCTCCGCCCCCCCCAGTCTGCAGTCCCTCCTTCCCTCCTACAGTCTGGCCTCTGCCTCCCTCCAGGATTCTCTGGGGACATTAATTGCCTGTGGACTTTTACTGTTTGTTCTTTTTTGTATTAATTTTTCACAGAAGTAAAAAGGATAATATGACTATTTTATCCCACCATCCCAAGGGAACTAGTAATAGTTTATTGTATTTGCTTCTGTAAAATAAATAAGAATGTTACAGATAACGTCGGTGCCTGATTTGACGCCTTTCCCAGAGAGACCAGATCCAGTGTGTATTTTTCCAAGCCACGTTTACCTATCTTTGACATATTGATTCCTCACCTGCACTTGTGCCTGGCATGCTTTGTAAAAACTGACGTCAGTGCATTATCCTGCAGCTTAGTTCTTGGTCCCTCTCTGCCAGGGCTCAGCCACGACTCCCTGGCACCTTCTCCTAGGAGTTCCTTGTGTTTCCAGAGCAGGGTCACCCAGCCTGCTGGGGTGACATTGACCTGGAGTGTTTAATAAAATTCTCATCTATACCCCAGATGCCTTCCCATGTTAAAATCTCATGGGAAGTCTCCAGAAATCTGCTTACCCAGGGCACTGGGAGCACCACATGGGCACATAGCACTAGCGTCCTTGGTGGCACATGTGCTCCCAGCGCGGTGTCCTTCTGTGGACTTGCTGTGCCTTCCTGCCTGCAGACAGGGCTCGCCCATGTGCATCGAGTGCCCTGGTAGCTCGTCCTGGGCTTCTAGTCCTCTGTTTTTCCTCATGGTCTGAATTCTGCCCAGATCCTTGTTTGAACTTGGCTCTTGTCCTCCCAGCAAACATCCTTGTTTGCACACAAGCTCCTGTCATCTGGAAGTGTGTGTCCAGGTGACACACCCAGTGACACACCGGGTTGGGCTCATCGCCCCTGTTCTCTGCTTGTTCCTTCTGCCCTACCTCCCAGCGTTGGGACCCTCTCCTTGGTCCTGGGCCCTGTCTGGTTCCCTCCGCATGCCCCAGGCGGGGTCCATGAAATCCAGTCTGAGTCTTAGGCTGACTGGTTTCTGGTCATCCCGGTGCCCTGGCCTGTGTTAGACTGGCGAGGGGCACACAGACACTCCCACTTTCCTCTGCTCGTGCAGGTGGACTTCCACTGCTGGATGTGTGGGAAGAACTGCAACAGTGAGAAGCAGTGGCAAGGCCACATCTCCTCCGAGAAGCACAAAGAGAAGGTTTTCCACACCGAAGATGACCAGTACTGCTGGCAGCACCGCTTCCCGACAGGATATTTTAGTATTTGTGATAGGTACGTCGGTTTCCTTCGTTGCCCCGGGCCTTGTATGGTCACTGTGTGTAGGAGGATGTGGGGTGAGAAGGTCTTTGTATTGATGCTGGTGTTTGGGCTCCACGATTGAATTGCCCCTTGAACATTTCCTTCCTCTTCTGTGATTGCGTGAAAAGATTTCACCGTCTGCTGACATGGGTTTGAAATGTCTTCAGTCACCTTCAAGGTCACAGAGATGATTCTCTGACCCTTTGCCATGCCCTTTTCTGTAGTACATGTTCTGCAGTTTTGAAACTGCCTTTGCATTACATTTCAGATGTACATTTGGGACTCTTTCAGGTCAAAGGAGAATGTATCATGATCCTTTAAGTTTACTTGGAAAATTTCTCAGTGAAAAATTAGCTAGCTCTGAACTGCTTCTCATTTTGTTAAATCGCGGTTTCCTTTTCATTTCCAAATTTAGACCCACATGATACTTAAAACTACTTAAGACTCTCTTACCTGATGCCATATCTGATTTCTTTTCATGGCATTAAGAAGGGTTGTGGTCTTTTCTCTCCCATCAATCAGTATTTTCCATGAGATGCATTTAGTTGAAGGTACTGCCCTATCATGTCTGTCAAGGCTGTGAAATGATCATTTTTCTAGGCTTAAGCTTTTGAACTAAGACTTTTATGCAAATCATAAAACTCGTGAAGTGCCCATCTTGACAGAGCTTTATAAAACTCGAGGGCCCTTACGAGGCTGATTTGTCCTAACAGGTTTATGAATGGCACCTGCACAGAAGGAAGCAGCTGTAAATTTGCCCATGGAAACGCTGAACTTCATGAGTGGGAAGAGAGGAGAGATGCCCTAAAGATGAAGCTCAACAAAGCAAGAAAAGATCACTTAATTGCCCCAAATGATAATGACTTTGGAAAATATAGTTTTTTGTTTAAAGATTTAAACTAATATGCTGGCTTTTATGTATGTAACCTAATCAGAGCATTGGCCAGAAAAATTGGAAGTGTTCTAAGGCACCTAGCAGAGAGCTGCAGACTTTCTGCTTGTATTGGCGTATATCGAACCTCCTGAGCAGCAACCCACAGTAGGTAGAAAATGGGCTGTTTAACAGGTCTGGTCACGCTCTCACGGAACCATTGGCATCATGTGGCCAAGTGACCGCTACCCGGCTGCCATCTGTTGAACAGACTTTTGGGTGAAGAGTGTTGGGGAAAGAGGATGAGGTTATGTCTAGGATGACTCCTGGAGTTGAGCCCTCAACTCCAGAATCATGATGGTGAGAGAATAAACACTTGTACTAGGTTCAGAACACATGATGGATAAAATTCTTTACATGTTTTAAGTGGAACGAATTTGTTTAATATAATCAAGTTTGCTACTTATCTGTATGTAGGTTGCTAAAAAGGATTTTCTTAACTCAGATTTTAAGTCAAATAACCATTTAACACTAGTATTAAGTTAAATGGGGTATTTTTCTGTATTTGTATGTTTCACTATAATAAAGGAACTGAGGATAATGTGCATTGAGATTTTTTGGAAAATAATCAGTTGAATCAAATTTTATTTCTTAGTCTTTTGCTGTTTAAATGATTTTGAAAGATTAAACTTGTACTGTTGGTTATTGTGTAGTGTATGGACCAATATTGCCCATAATAAAGATTTTATATATAGATGTCTCATTTTTGGGTGTGGTTCTTTCCCCACAAGGAATTTTTGAAAATGGGTACCAAAATCACAAGGTTTGATTTTTTTTTTTTTTAACATTTTTATTTAAGCAGCCAAAGATGGTATGCAAATTAGAGGAACCCGAAAACAATTTTTCACTATGTCCCTTCTCTGGTTCATTGTTCAGAAAACTGTTCTGGTGTCAGAGCAGCAGCCAGATGTCTAGAAAGTGGAGGAAAGAAACCATGCTCTTGTTAATCCTGGCCTGTAAGATGTCACTCTGCTTTGTCACCAGATACTGTGGGTCTTGTAAAAGCAGCAAAAGTACTTTGAACCTTAGGTCCGTGCAAACGACAGCTGTCTTATGGACATATACATTAAGAGTCTATCCTAGCCTCCCACAGTGAATGAGGGCCTATGATCTTTGACCATATTTGGTTTTGTCAGCAATATACCAACTAACTCCAGTCTACACAAAGAAATCAAGAGAACTAGAAATGGTACATAAGGTTAATATTAAAAAATATTTTTTTTCCCTCTTCATAGCTTCTTGAAACCAGAGTATATAAAACAATATTAAAAAAGTAGTAATTTGGGCCTCCCCGGTGGCACAGTGGGTTGAGCGCAGTGCTGTGAAGCTGTCCGCAGCCTCTGCAGCACCGGTTCGATTCCCGGGTGGCCAGGGAGATTCCCACATAGCACAGCAGACCTCTCCTGTCTCCCCTCTGCTCTCCTCAGCAGTGTATTTCAGTCTGCCTGTTCTGCTCCCGGCTTTGTCTGTGGTGAATCTTCTCACCCTCTCTCGTCTCTGTTGTATAAATAAATAAATCTTGGGCCTCCTCGATCCCCGGCCGCCTGGAGGAGGGACCCACATGGCGTGCAGACCTCTCCTGCCGCCCGCTGCTCCCCTCAGCAGTGTCCTTCGGTCCTTCTGCCTGCTCTGCTCCCCGCTCTGGCTCTGGTGAATCCTCTCACCCTCCTGCGCTTCTGACTGTACCCAGTGCTTGTATAAATAAATAAATAAATCTTAAAAAAATAAATAAATCTTAAAAAAAAAAAGGAGTAATTCACCAGGAAAGGAGGGGGGGAATGGAATTACACTGAAGAAACTTCCATATCTCACTGAAATCAAGTTAGTACAGATGTGAAGTCAATGGAGGGGGGCACACTGGATCCCTCATGCAGCTGATGAATCATTGGAGGAATGAATGGTATGCTAGAAAACATCCACCTAGTACAGAGGAAGACAGTGAAGAAGGTGTCCAAAAGGCATGAGAGAGAAAACAGTCAAGCGTCCGGTGTAAACGAGCGAGGGCCATGCGGGGCCTCCCCAGTGGACACTCGCAGGGCTCTGGCACAGCCTGGAGGCAGCCACGCCCAACTTCACCTCCCCGGACATCCCGCCCCGGGTCCCACAGCTGACTTGTGGCAGAGACGGGGGTCACCTTAACTTTGTGGGGCTTTTTTTGCCTGACATCATAGTGCCTTAGTTTCCTCAGTTTTGAGTGACTTGCAGCTCATGACCGTGGAGATGGAGTCCTGGCCTCGGGCCCCAGCGCGGGGTGGCAGGCAGGTCCGCCCTCCGCTCTCGGGGGAGCAGCGCCTCCCGCCGCTCTCGGTCCCGCCTCGCCGCCCAGCGCCGCGCCCCTGCGCCGCTCACTCAGCCGGTTCTTCGGCGGCTCCGCGAACACACGTGCGGGCCTTCCCCGGAGAGCCCCGGACACTCTCCGGCAACCGGAGCGCCTGCGCCCAGGCCCCGCCGCCCGAGCCCGAGCCCGTGACGGGGCGCGCGGGGGCAGCATTTCAAGTCCCCTCTGAACCCCGTCCCGCCCCGGCCGCGACCTCACAGACGGCGCCGAGGCTCTGCCGGCCGGACTGCGGCGCGCGGCCATGACGTCCGCCCCTCAGGGCCCGCGCCACCTCCCGGCGGCCCCGGCGCCGCCCCGACTTCCGCGCCGGGAGGACACCGGGTAGGCCGGGCGCGCGGGGGCGGGCTCCGTGGCGGGGGCGGGGCCACGGCGCGTAGCGGGGCGGCTCTCGCGCGGACTCCGAGCGCGGGGGCGGGGCCTGTGGGGGCGGGGCGGCGGGTGGCGCGGGCGAGGGGCGGGGCTGCCAGGCGGAGTCGCCGTCCGCGCAGACTCGGAGCGCGGGGGCGGGGCCTGTGCGGCGCGGGCGGGGCCGCGGGCGGCGCGGGCGAGGGGCGTTTGCGCAGGCTCCGTGGGCGAGGGGCGGGCCCGCCGAGGGGCGGGGCTGCCGGGCGGAGTCGCCTCCGCGCAGACTCGGGGCGCGGGGGCGGGGCCGGCGGGGCGGGCTCCGCGGCGGCGGCGGCTGACGTGGAGGGCCGGGGTTAGCGGGCGCGGCGAGCTGCGGGATTGGGGGGCGACGGGCCGGGCCGGGCCCTCGGGCCGGAGGCGGCAGCGGCGGCGTATAAAGCCGGCGAGCGGGAGCATGTAATGTCGGAATGCGGAGGCCGCGGCGGCGGCGGCGGCAGCAGCAGCGACGACGCCGAGGACGAGGCCGGCGGCGGCCCCGCGGGCTCCGGCTCCCCCAGCCCGGCCCCGGCCGGAGCCTCCCCGGCGGGCCGGCTGCGCCGCGGGCTGCGCGGAGCCTCCCTCATGGCGCGCCGGCGGCCCGAGCTGCTCTGCGGGGCCGTGGCGCTCGGCTGCGCGCTGCTCCTCGCCCTCAAGTTCACCTGCAGGTGAGGCGGCCGCGCCCCCGTCCGCGGCCGGCGCCCCCGCCGGCGCCCGAGGCCCGCGTCAGGGTCGGGGGGTCGCAGCGGCCGCGGCCCGGGACGGCGGGGCCTGCCGGGGCCCCGAGCCCGGCCTGACCCGCGCCCCGCGCGCCTCCCGCGCCCGCCGGGCGGCCACACGGCGGGGGGCTCGCCCGTCGCGCCTCGTCCCTGCTGGCTCCGAGGGAGGCGGGCCCGGGTCTCCCCGTCGGCTGCTGGGGTTCGGGGCGCACCTGTCACCTCCCCCCGGGCTCTGGGACGCTCGTCTGTCACCCGTGTTAGTCCCCCGGTCCCGGCTGTGGTGATTCACGGCTCTGGCAACTGCTCGCGGCACCCACGAAGCGGGGCGCGCTCTCCCGGGTGAGGGAGATGGAGGGCCCCGCTCTCCGTGCGTCCCAGGGGTGGGACGGCTCATGAACAGGTAAATTTACCTGATTCTGAAGGGTTTCAGTAAGGGCCTTGCAGGAATAGAAGCGATGAGGGTGAGGCAGAAAAGGCAATTTCAGGAAGCGCAGAGGAAGCTCAGGAAAAGGGGCAGAGACCACCGTCGTGAAGGCTGGGGAAAGGGAGAGGGAAGAGCAGGGGCAAGTCCTGAGGCTGCACAAGCCTGGTGTTTCCTGGAACTGGAAAAGGCCCAGAGTGTCTTCCAGCCTGGTGAGCGGGAGAAAAGAAGACTAGTGTGCCTCCTTTGAGATAGTACGCAGAGGCAAAATTAACCTTAAATTTCAGGTGTGCTTTAGGCCTCCCAAATCTACACTGTGTCCCCTGGGACTCCAGTTTATGAATCTGTGTTGCCAATTACTGGCATGTTGGCCAAGAGGAAAGTTTCAACTTGGATTTTGATTGAGTCTGTTAAGCACAGTTGGCGGCTTCTGTTGTGAAACGATTGGGGGATTTAGTGGAAAGAGAACAAGTTACATTAACTATCATTTGCCCATATGTCAAGTACTCTGCTGTCAGTGGGTTCGCAGTCTCAACACTTGATATTGTGGGCCCGGACATTTTTAGTTGTGGGAGGCTGTTCTGTCCATTGTAGGATGTTTAGCAACATTCCTACTAGATGCCAATGGGACACCCTCTCACCGCCCCCACCCCCTCAAGCTGAAATAACCAAAACGTCCCTAGACATTGCCAGATGTCCCCTGGGGAGCAAAATTTGAGAACAACAGGTTACATTAGCACATTTATTCATTTAACCTGCCTGCTAGTATGAATCATTTCAATCTCGGGCCCCTGTAAATAAAGTCTGGATATACTATTATCCTGCACAGTTAGAGACAAAAGAGTTGAGCTTTGGTCATGTTACAAAACTTGCCCCAAATGACACCCATCTGTTAAGTGGCTGAGCTGGAATTTGAATCCTTCATTGTCAGGAACCGAACTCTTCAACTTGCTCTTTATTGTGTCCCCCACAGGATCATAGACAACTTATTTTACAAGGCACCATATTGCAGGGTGGCGTTTGGGTTCAAGTTAGGAAGAGAGTTCCCCCTCTCCACCCAGTTGGGGAGCTTACTCGCATCAGTAAGTAGTGTTTGCTCTGAGAGAATGTGACTTAATAGTTAGGAAGTCTTGAGCGATCTCAGAAAGAGGGAAGTGTGTAAATCCAGTTACTGGAGCAGGCACAGCAATAGCCCCACCTGCTTCAGGCCAGGGGAGTGAGCCAGTGAGAGGCTGCGAGCCTGTCCAGCTCCCTTCTGTGCCTCTGGCAAATCTGACATTCTTTTAATAGACTCAGATGGACGTTTTTTAGAGTCTCTCATTGAATGGTTCCACGATACTTTATTGCTGTACTACCCTAACATTTCTGTTCCCCCCTTTCCTGTTTTACTTTTGAGCTCGTTGCATTAATGAGGACAGAGTCTTAAGGGAGAGACAGATTTTTCCCCCTAATTTAATTTTATTAATAACTCCAGGCCTGACATGTGACAGCCCTCTACAATGTCTTTTGCTTAGCTGTGTTCAAATAAGATTTTACAAAAGAAGATTGATTTGGGGTTGAAACACAAGTAATCGTGCTTTTCTGGGTATTTAATCTCTATCCTATCTACCTCTCTGTGTATTGAATCTCTGTGACATCATCCTACTCACTTTACTTTCATTCTGGTTTGGAGGGAAATAAGTGTGTGTGTGTGTGTGTGCGCGCGCGTGTGTGTGTATCTGTAGATGTATGTGTGCATAAATTTATTTTGCCTTATTGTGAAGCTGCTTCAGATCCTTTTTGGAAGGAGGGGTAAAGGGGCAAATAATTGGGAGTTACCACATGTCTTTCTTGTTTGCAACT